AGTACATAAACTTAGTAAATAACATAAAATAAAGTATAAAAAATTTAACTAATTATCTCTTTTACTCTATACTCTACCTTCTCTTTCTATTTTCTCACAATATTCCTCCCTTTCTATTGTGAACAAATTTTTTTGCAGAGAGAAGAAAAACAAAACAACCATTAGCTCTCTCCCTCTCTCTCAATTTGTAATAATAATGTTAATAAAAGAAAAACTCAAAGAACTTAACAAGAATGGAAGAAAATAATAGCGGTGATGACAAAATCTGGTGTAGTAGTGTGGGTTGCGGTCTGAGCGTGTGCATAGTTTTAATAGTGGTGTCATGGATTTGCGTAGGAGCATATGTGGGGTGCACAATAACATTTTGTATCAGGTGGCCTTGCGGATTCGTTGGCTTGAAAGTGAGTGGTCTGCGGATGGGTGCATAGTCGGCGTGAAGTTGTTGATGTATGCTGGAGATTCTACTAATGATCGTTGGAACTGGATGGCTCGGTTGTGTGTGGTGGTGACTTCCAACAGTTGTAAGCAGTTGGAAATTTGTCTTTCTCTTCTCTTGTGTTTCTGTTTAATTTCAATACTCGGTCACGACTTTCAATTTGATTTCAGTACTCGGTCACCACAATCCAAATTATGCTTCAACAGAGCAACATTCCTATCTTAACTAAACTATGCTCCAACATTACTATCGGACCTCTGGAATCAAAAACAGGAAAACTCACATATAAAGTTTGCATTTTAAACCGAATGAAAATTATGAAGTCAGATTGTAACTGCTTGTCCATACCCTGGAAGTTCCATAACAAAGTATTTTATAAAGTCGGATCCAAAATAGAACAAATCACATAAAAGTGAAATATTAACTCAAATGAAATAACATATTACCAAAACCCTCAATATGCATTGACATGCAGTTTATCTTTGATATCAAAGTCAGAAGAGAGAAGAAGGGAGGTGGAATAGAGGTAGAGGAACATCAAAGATGGAAGAGGAAGAGACATAGGTGAACTGCATTCTACGTCGTCGACAGAGGCGGAAGACGTAATGGCGGAGGAAAGGAGGAGAAAATTAGATTTGGAATTGAAGTGAGAGATTGATGTGATATGAAGAAGAGTTGTTGTGAAATAATCTGATGCCATGGAAGGGTTTATATGTTTGAATAACGGTTTGGAAACTTGAAAAGCCATGAATTAATTGTACATTATTAGAAGTTGGAATTCTTTGTATATTCAAGGTTGACTATTAATTTTCTATTGTTGTGTAGAGCGTATATTGAAATAATTAGAATATGCACGCTCAATGAAGCGAATAACCAATAATTATGGATAATTTTTTTAAGATTAATTAGTGATTAATGATTAAAAAAATAATAAAAAAAGTTGTGAAAATGTATTGTATTGACACATTAGCGCCCTTAAATACCAAAATAATATGGTGATATGAGTAGTTCAAAAAACCTAATTTACTCTTAGTGATTAATTTAAATATTAATTTTAATTAGAAGACATTAAATGGATTTTCAAATACTTTGAAATTTATATATTTATATTAGATTGAAACATGATTTGTCCATAATCAATAAACATAAATAAGCTAACACGTAACACATACATATTATGCATGTTACACCAAATCTAACAAGAATTATAAGAATTACAGAGAGACTAAGGGTGGAAGAGAACACGACCATGACTTGTACTAATTCAACCATGATTTTTCTCGTATGCGGTCTAAAAACTCATTAGAATTTCTTCCACTAAACTTTGTAATGCACAAAGTAGTAAAATGTTAATGTTACAACTTACAAGTAATTCTTTTGGCTACGAAATTTGCATAAAGTAGTAAAATGTTGATATTACAAATAATTTTCTTAGCTACGAAGTCTATTATGATGTTCCTAACTATCTAACTACTTGAACGTGACAACCATTAATCCTATTTATACAACAGAGGTTAGGACTTGAAAATGATATAAAAATTAAAGATTCAATTCAATAAAAGAATAATTTGAATTCACTATTATGGAAAAGACATACAATAATGATTGGAAAAAATATATAATCACGCAGGATCATAAGTTATTATGTAGCGTGTGGTTGTATATAAGTTAATTACAATCATGATTCAGTGACCATTGTAGTAAACTGAAAAGCGCGCGTCATATTACAACAGTTATGCCAAGTAACCATTGTGATAGACATGAAAGTCTTAGGTTCAACTCTCAACAATGTCGTTTTGGTATTTATATTATTCTGGACAACGCTTGAGATATTACAACGGTTGTGTTATATAACCATTGTGAAATTTTCTACTTAATTAATAAATATGATTATGCTTTTATAATTTTTCCATCTTTTTAACCTGTATCATTGTTTACCATATCACAGCAGAACAAACAACTCGCATTTGTGATAAGGTTATCATAATAATAATAATAATAATAATAATAATAATAATAATAATAATAATAATAATAATAATAATAATAAAAATTGGATTAAGAACCAAAAATTGTATATTACTTCAGAACCAAAATGTGACAAAACAACCTACAATTTACACGTTACATAACATCACATAATTGTATCTTGGTGTTTTGGTTTCTTGTCTCTTGGTGTCTTGTCTCTTGGTATCTTGACTTTAAAGACCTATGATTTCAAATAATCATACTTGTTAGTAAAAATACTTAGAAATTATAACATACAATTAATATATTATGAATAAAGAATAAAATACTTACTTGTTAATTTTCTCATATGCCTTCTTCATGATCGATTCGAATAGCATGCACATCATCTCCATCATCAACTTCATTATATGAGGTAGGAACTTGTGTTGTATAAGAAGAAGTGAATGAAATATAAAGACTTTCATCACTAAGAGGAATGTGTTTTCCTTGGAGAACGATTGACCATTTCCCCGATATGTCTGAAGAGTCGTCACATAGAAAACTTGTTTTGCTTGAGAAACCATGATGATTGGTTCAGTCATAAAAGATGCATTGCCAAGATCAACCCGGGTAAATCCTAAGTCATCAATGTGTACACCATTACTATTATTGGAAATCCACTTGCATTTAAATAAAGACACTTTAAAAATAACATAATCAATCTCTCAAATCTCCTCAATGATACCATAGAACATGGTAATTGCCAATACAAGATTCTTATCTTTCGAACTAGAGAAATACATCGATTCGCTTTAAACATAACCCACTATTTTTCATTGTACTGTGATCATCTTTTGATTTTGTATAAAAGGTATAATGACCAATGTCGTATGCAGTCCAAGTCATGTTATTAAATTTTGGCTCGTACGACAACCATTTAAGTATCTCGGATGCACTACGATTGTTAGATACCTTTTCATTAAACCAATCTATGACTCTTTTGTTATGCTCTATCAACAACAACTTGTCACTCATTATGAGATATTTTTTCTTCCAAAGTATTTTGTGAATATCTATGTAAGATTGAACTTCATCTATATTATTTAACTAGTGGAATATTTGTGCGTTTGCACGGGTACAAATATGATACGCGCATTATTTAAAAAAAATTAATTGTTCAACTAAAAAAGTTAATTATTTAAAAATAATAATAATAAATCAGTGCTTATAATTATTTTCATATATATATTATTTTTGTTTGGACATTATTTATAAAAATATTAGAATTAATAGTATATTTTTTACCATTGTTATTAAATATTTTGGTCAGTAACTTCATATTTCCGTTATAATTGTTATATTTTGTGTTTTAAAAAAATGATAAGTTATGACTTGATCAAAATTTGTTTTTTATAGTTAGTATACGCATTTTTTCAAAATATAATAAAATTATTCCCGTATATAATAATAATATTTTTCTATTAATTTTTTCACATATTTGAAAATAATGATCGATAAATTTATATTATTCAATATTTGAATCAGAAGTAAAATTATTCTCGTTTATAACAATAATATTTTTTCCGTATAAATAAATAATTTAATCAATAATATATTTTTCCTGTATATAAATATCATTTTTATTTTGACATTAATTATATATTTAAATCTATATACAAATATTTTAAATCAATAATATATTTTTGCTTTTAAATAAATAATCAGAAGAAACACACTCTTTGGTAGAGACAACTAAAATATTTATCTACCGATAAATTATTCTCACACCCTTAAATATTTGTGTAAATATCAAGGAAAAAACATCATCCATACAGAACACACAAACAAAACCATGTAATTGTTTTCTTTCTGCACCCTATAAAAAATAGTATATATTTTTTAAGATATACATATTAACCCCTGATTTTACAAAACTCCACCACTCGTACCTTTTCTCTACTCATATCTTTGCTTCCAAAGTTTAATTATAGAACTTTTAGACTTTTGAATATAAATGTTGAATTATGTAGTTTCAAAAATGTCAAGTATTTCCAGCATTTAAATTGAAAAATAGGAAAAAAATGAATCTGTAATTTATTTCAAGATTTTAACAATTCAAGATGTGTTTTCCAAAAAGGGGAGGTATTTATGAGAAAAATGTGAGAATTTTGTATGTTTGAATTTTTTTTTTATTGTCCCCTCAAAATGCCAACATACCAGCCATTGGGGATCATGTAGAGAGTTGAAGCATCTTCAACTTTGTTTCATATAGAGAATTAAAACATCTCCAACTTAATAAATTCATTTGAAGAATTACAATTTATCCAATCATGCATGATTCACTTGTTCTAAAACTTTAAATCTCATTTATTTCCATGATTTTTGCGAATATCAAAAAGAAAATATATTTTTTCCTGAATAAATACTTCAATAAAACAACAAAAATATCTTCATGATCCCCTAAAAGTATATAACTTCTAGCACCTGATAATCAAATACAAGATTTTTCATATCATTTGGACATATTGTTCACAATTATTGGTCATTTAGAATGGACACTTGCATTATTTTTATTGATGGGTCCAACTGGTCTATAAAGGACAGAGATGGAAACTCATAGAGTGAGAACAAAAGGAGGTGCATCCTTTCTTGGCCGGGCAACGGAATGGTAAACATAAAGTTTTTTGGCCCGACTATCACCTCCTTCTTCCTGCATAATACTATGCCAAACAAGGGATTAGACAACGCTCTTTTAGGCCTTTAACAGCGCTGCTAAAACCTCCGCTGCTAAAGATATAGACAGCGCTTATGTAATTTCAAAACCGCTGCTATAGGTACCCCTTTAGCAGCGCTTACACTTTAGACAGCTCTTTTAATGTGGAATTTTAGACAACGCTTTTAATGTGGAACTTTAGACAGCGTTTGGTAAAAGCGCTGTCTATTCCCCCCCTTTAGCAGCGCTTTTCCTTATTATTTTTTAATATATTTTTTTTTCAATCACTTTAGACAACGCTTTCATTAAAAGCGTTGTCTATTCTCCCCCCCCCCCCCCCCCTTTAGCAGCGTTTTTCCTTATTATTTTTTTAATATTAATTTTTTTTCTAACACTTTAGACATCACTTCTCATTAAAAGCGCTGTCTATTCCCCCCTTTTAGCAGCGCTTTTCCTTATTATTTTTTTAAATATAATTTTTTTTTCATTTAAAACAAAATGTTGGCTATCAAATTTAATCTCACCATAATTTATAGCTTCATTATAACATTTTAAACAACAACAACAACATCAATATACCACAATGAAACAATATTATAACAACATCAATATTCATCTCTTCAATCCTTTTTGCACAATATACACAACAACAACATTACTATATACAACAATGAAACAAAATCAACAATGAATTACAAAATAACTCTATCTTCTACATCGAGCTGCACCTATATAACCTAAAACAAAATCAAAAAATCAAAATTCATACAAGTTACCAAATAACAACAACAAAAACAATAATATTGTAACACAACTATAACGACATATATTATATTCTCAAAACTCAAAGTTATACCTTATAATATAACTCTCAACTCCATAACAAATTGGCACCAATCCTCCATAAGTTCATCCAATTGATCTTTTGAGTATGAGGCACACTTGAATTCATCAAAGTACTACATAATAATATAACATAGTATGATTTAATTAAAATACTAAGTCATTTTATGAGAAATATTAAAATAATTCCTAAGTTAGAAATTCATACCGTGGATAGAATCTCTAATCGGTCCAAAAGAATAGTTTCTTTCATAAACTTCAACATAAAATAACTGCAATCTACACCATTGCGATGACGAAGACACTACACATGGAAAGAAAATACGGATATACATCAAGATATACACCTTAACTTGTTTTATCAAGTATCATCGCTATATAATCAAAATTGTGAAAATCTATACCTCCACTTTGATCCAAGAAATATTGTTGACTCTACTCCTTGGTACTTGAATATCTCTTTGTGCTCGAAAACTTTGTAGAATGCTATAATAAAATAATAACGAATATTTAGAACTATCGCACATAAATAATTAAATATACACAGTAATATTTTGGAACAATCTCACTTACGTGTCAATCGTCTTCTTCATATCTGGGTATGTTGTCCAATCATTGCCCAACGAATCCAGATAATATACAATTTCTCTTACAGGATTAATTGCAACTAATAACCAGTGTCCACTGGAATATTAAACAAAGGTTAGATGGAAATTTTCTGCACAACGTTAAAAAACGAAAAATTATAATAGAGGAAATTTAAAATGAAAATCTTACTTGGGGCCAGTATTATATAGTAAAAAGAACAATTTTTCTGTATATTTGATGGCCATAAATAAACTGAGCACAAATGTTATTACTTCATCTAGTTTTGAGATGATTGACCCTGGTTTTGAGGTGGTAGATATGTTCGTCTTCCTTTCTTCACGGGTCCTAATTCAGTTCTTATTCCCATCTCTACCATGTCCTCTCTTGCTTTAAGGTCATCCTTAGACTTTCCTTTTATATTGAGTAACGTACCAATAACACTTTCAAATACATTATTTTCAATATGCATAACATCAAGAAAATGTCTTACGTACAAAGATTTTCAATATGGCAATTCAAAAAAAATTGACCTCTTCTTCCACCCACCTGTGACAACTTTATGTGCAAAAGGCTTGCCAAACTGAATACTCACATCTTTCATCTTTTCACAAATTTGATTACCTGTCAATCCAGGTGGAGCTCTACGTTGTTCGGTATTTCCATTGAACGCTTTTCTCCATCCACGATATTGATGTTTTGAATTTAAGAATCTACGATGACCGAGAAAGACATTCTTCTAACAAAGTTTCGATCGTGTCGTATCGGTTCCATCTTCACAGACAGGACACGCTTTTTCACCTTTAATGCTATACCGGGATAGATTCCCATATGCTGGAAAATCATTAATTGTGCCAAACAACATCGCCCTCAAATTGAAACTTTCTTTCCTATATCCATCATAAACCTCCACACCGTTCTCCCACAAAATCTTCAAATCTTCGATTAAAGGTTTCAAGTATACATCTATGTCATTCTCTGGTTGTTTAGGCCCAGAAATTAACATAGATAACATCATGTACTTGTGCTTCATACATAGCCATGGAGGTAGGTTATAAATCATAAGAATCATAGGCCATGTGGAATGTGAGATACTTTGAAGACCATGTGGGTTCATTCCATCCGTAGATAATGCCAAGCGAAGGTTTCTTGTTTCTCCTCCAAAATCAGGATAATCATTATCAATTTTCTTCCACTGTGGTGCATCTGCCGGATGTCGAAACTTTCCATCGATAATTCTTTCATCTGCATGCCAAGTCAAGTGTCTAGCATCGGTTTCACTATAAAACATGCGTCTAAATCTCGGAATAATAGGAAAATACCATAAGACTTTCGCTGGAGATAATTTTTTCTTATATTGAGATAAACCGCACTTTGGACACTCATTCAACGATGCATATTTGTTTCGAAACAAAATACAATCATTTAGACATGCATGTATCTTATCATAGCTCATGCCAATAGAGCACAACATTTTTTTGGCCTCGTAGGTTTGATTTGGAAGAACATTATCCTCAGGAAGCATATCTCTCAAAAGGGCTAATAACTGTGTGAAACTTTTATCCGACCATCCATTGCGCGCCTTTAAGTTATACAATTTTAATACCGCAGACAATCTTGTGAATTTGGGGCAATCTTTATACAACGGTTTCTCCGCATCGCTTACCAACCTCTCAAACATTTTGGGACAATCTTGAAGATCTTCTTCAAGTGCTTCTGCAATCTCTTCGACTCGATCACAATCATATGTATCCATGGCATTGTCGTACGAAACATAGGTCACATTACTTTTCACCCCCGGTTCAACATTCTCGATGCTTTTCTCACCATGAAATATCCAACACGTATAACTTCAATCAATTCCGCGCATTAGTAAATGCGATTTCAATCCATCTGCGTCAACCCGACCCACATAACAACAACCCAAGCAAGGACATTTCATTCTATTCGGGTCTTCAGCGTGTTCAACAGCAAACTTAACGAACTCTAATACCCCATTCTCATACTCTTTTGACAATCGATCGGCGCACATCCATTTTTTATCCATGGTTTTAACTATTATCTAAGTTAAACAAAAACACTAATTAGGGAACAAAACGGTATAATGCGTTTCTGTCAAAACACAAAGTATACACGGATTTAAAATAAATTTGAGTTCTAAAAAATCAATTCGGAGAAAATATAAAAATTGATCTAAAGTTCCAACATAACTAAGGAATACCATATCATAAGTAAGGGTAGTTAATTACGGTTCGGTTCAGCAAGTTATGGTTTGGTTAACTATGGTTTCAGTTCGGTTATTGAACTGTTTGAAGACATGTGGTTCGGTTCATAAACCACGAATAACGGTTCCGTTATTTAAAAATGGTTCAGTTCGGTTCTGTGGTTCAATTCAGTTCAGTTCAGTGGATTTTTTGAACACCCCTGATTATGATTTATTTTTTCTTCACATTATCAATACCATAACCATAAGTTCACGAATCTCACTATACATTATTTGGCTGCTGGTAATTGCTATTTAGTTAGCAGGTGATAGACAAGTTTAAAAAAATAATATGCTTTTATAAACATATTAAAATTGCACAATAAATAATCACATGTTACAAAATTGAACTAGTTTTGTTTTTGACCATAGAGGTTTACTATAGTAATACAAAACTTGGAAGCAAAGAAATAGAAAGAGCAAGAGTTTCTCACCGTAGTGCCTGCAACCAGGAAAATTGCACTAGATAAGCTTCCTGTTAATGTCAACAAAAAAAACATGAATAAGTTAAATTCACACACAAAAGCACTTATTTACAAAAGCACTGACATTCTTGAGATTCTTGAAAGCACTTATTCACAAAAGGGTGCGTTATCCCCCAAACAAAAGCACTTATTCACAAAAGCACTGTTTCCTTCCTACCCAGCTCTAGCTAGTATCATGACCACCCACATTTTTATTCAATAGAAAAGAACAACTTAATAATGTAAAAGTGCATAAACGGTGTTATCGGAACTGACTTGTTGTTGTTATCGGGACACCGAAGAGAGTTGCTTCTGCGCGGAGGAAGAACCACCAAAGTACGGTTGGACGGTGAGGAGAAGAGTTGGAGAAGAGTTGGAGAAAGAACCACGGTTGGACGGTGAATGGGAGGAGACGAGTTGGAGAAGAAGATGAACATGAGCGATTTCTGGGTGTGGGGTTTCGTTTGTACGATTTGGGATTTCTGGAAATCTGATAACCAATTTAGGGATTAAGACACTATTTAATTACCTTAGACAGCGCTTTCAAGAAACGCTGCTAAAGGTATTACCTTTAGCAGCGCTTCTGGAAAGCGCTGTCTAAGGTATACCCTTTAGCAGCGCTTCTGGAAAGCGTTGTCTAAGGTATACCCTTTAGCAGCGCTTTAGGCTTTAGCAACGCTTCCTAGAATAACACCTTTAGCAGCGCTTTTAGTAAGCGATGTCTAAAGTATAACCTTTAGCAGCGCTTATTCTAATTTTTTAATTTTTTTTTACTGAAAACCTATAGCAGCGCTTAGGGAAAGAAAGCGTTGTCTATGGTAAGGCCTATAGCAGCGCTTATAATAAACGCTGTCTATAGTATACCTTTAACAGCGCTTCTCCTTTAATTTTTAATTATTAATTTTTCTGAAAACCTATAGCAGCACTTTAGGCATAAGCGATGTCTATGTGGCGCTGTCTAAAGTCAATTTTGGCATAGTGTAACTTCGACGTTCAACCTCGGCTTTTCTACTGCTAACAATCTACATCCATTCATCGTCAGTCTGCAAGTGACCTCAATGACTTGTACTTCCACTAACCTGCCAAAAGCACTGCATTGTGGAATGGACTTTCCCTTATCTCGAGTTTTCTCAGCTTTAGACATCCAACCAGTACACACTCCATTCCCTAATCATTGCTTCATACAAAAGCCACTGAAAGTGTTTCCAAGTTTTTGGCATACTTTACAATATAAAACAATAGTAATAGTAAATTCAGTAACAAATGAATATCAATTAGTAAAAACAATGAAATGCTCATGGAAAAGGAATTTGAATGATTCGACTATTGGCAAAAGAAGATAAAATTGTTTATAACTTGCACAAGAAACCAGCTTGTGCATAATGGAACTGCTTCACATATAAAAACATAAATATCAATACGCCACTCATTTTGAATATCTTCACAGATACCCAATGCTACAACTTATAATAGATAGCCATCAATTGTAAGTCTAGATCCTTCATAACCCAATCTTGTAAGTTCATACCCGATCAATGAAAAAAATCCCCATCGCTAGCAATTCTCAATTTCAATTTTCAAATAATTTCCCTTTTTTTATTAAAGTTATTTCTAAAGCTCAGATAACATATATAGTCTTCAATAATTTCCAATGCATGATGGCATAAACAGAAAGTAAGATGAGGAAAAAGAAATGGCCATAAAATTACTTTACAGTATATGAGATAATAGAAACACGTTGAAAGCCTTCATCATCGAGAGCTACTCGCATCGCTCCTACCCGACCATCCATTATATCGTTGGGGCTGATAACATCTGCTCCAGCCCGTGTCTTATAAAATATAAATTGGATTAGTGTCTTTGTTAGTGAGTGAGGAACTTTAGTGAGGAGAGAAAGAGGAAATAATAAATAAAATAAGGATTTATATTATTGAATTGTACAAATAATAACAATACAGACTAAGACTATTTATATACAATCTAAATTGAGTTTGGGTCTACACAACTTGAATTATATTTAAATATTAAATTTAATCAAATCTAATCTATTATAATATTTTAACAAATCTAATTTAATATTTCAACACCCTCTCATAATCCAAGTTGTCAAACATCCTCAAAAATAGTCAATCTGAACTATTCCTAATTTCTTTCTCAAATTCAGGAATTTGTCAATCTTCAATTTTTTGGTGAAAATATCGGCCAACTGTGCTTCACTCGAGCAATGCCTTACTTCAAGTTCACCTCGATTCACCTTTTCCCTCAAGAAGTGAAATCTTGCTTCAATATGTTTACTTCTTCCATGCAGAACTGAATTCTTCGCCTGATTTATCGTTGACTTGTTGTCGATTTGCAACACAAGAGATTTCTTCACTTCGACCTTCATTTCTTCAAGTACATATCTGATCCAAATTGCTTGACATGCAACATAAGATCATACTATATATTCAACTTCACAAGATGATAATGCCATCACAGGTTGTTTCTTCGAACACCATGAGATTGGGACACCAAGTACTTGAAAGAAATATTCAGTTGTGCTTCTTCGATCTTCCTTATCTCCATATCAATCAGCATCTGGAAAAAAATTAATTATTACTTCTTTGTCTCATCGAAATAGTATTCCACAGTTTATCGAACCCTTCAAATATCTCAGGATTCTTCTTGCAGTCTTCATATGTGACACTCTTGGTTCACTCATATATCTGCTTACTAATCCTATAGTGAAACCTTTATCAGGTCGACTATTGCACACATACCTCAGAGATCTCACGATTTGCTTGAACAAAGTTATATCGACTTTATCTTCCTCTACATCCTTCTCCAATTTTATAGTTGGTTCGACAGATGAGGATGCAGGATTCGAATCATCCATTCTAAATCTCTTGAGTATTTCTTTAACATACTTCCTTTGATCTAGAACCATACCTTGCTTCGACATTTGAAATTATATGCCTAAGAAATAAGACAATTTCCCATATCAGACATTTTAAATTCCTTCATCATCAGCTCTTTGAACTTCGACAAGTTCTCCAAGCTATTTCCAATTACTAGAAAGTCATCGACATATAAGCAAATAATTGTTATATCCTGTGCTACAACCTGAACATAGACACCATACTCATATTTGCATTTGACAAATCCCAAGTTGACTAAGTATGAGTTGATCTTCTTGTTCCATGCCCTAGGTGCCTGCTTGAGGCCATAGAGCGCTTTGTGCAACTTATATATTTTACTCGCTTCCTTCTAAATCACAAACCCTGGAGGTTGTGTTACATAGACCTCTTCGTCTAAAGGACCATTCAGAAATGCTGATTTCACATCTAAATGAAATGTCGACCAACCTTGGTTGCATGCTAAAACTACCACTAGTCGAACAATCTCTAATCTTACTACTGGAGCAAATACTTTAGAGTAGTCGAGTCCTTATCTTTAAAGAAACCCTCAAGCTACTAATCTTGATTTATGTCTTGCTATCGAGCATCAACTTATGTTTCAACTTGAATACCCACTTTACTTTGATAGCTTTTGTATGTGCTGGCAATTCGACTAACTCTCGTATGTTGCTTCTTTCGATTTCCTGTAACTTTTCAACCATAGCTAACTTCCATTGTTTAGTCTTCAAAGTTTTGCTATAGTTAATTGGTGCAGCACCTGCAAGTAAAGCAAAATGAACTAATTATCCATCTGGTGTGACTTCATCATAGCCCACCACTTCATAATCATGAAGTCTTGTTGGAAGAACTCTATTTCTTTGAGGTCTTTGGCTTGTTTCAACCATAACCTCTTTGACTTCGACTGTGTCTAGAATGTCAGGAACTGCTTCTTATTAGACTTTGACTGGAATCTCAACAACTCCTTCAACCTCTACTTCATCAATTTCTTCATCGACATCAGAACTCATCAATGGCTTGTTAATTGAATTGCTAGAATTCCAATCCCAGGTAGAATTTTCATTAATCATAATATCTCGACTCAACATAATCTTCTCATTAACTGATTGAAAAGTCTTTATGCACCAATTTTATGATATCCTACAAGAATTATAGGTTCACTTTTGTCATCAAGCTTCCTTCTTCTCGCATCAGAAATATGCTTGTAACATATAGATCCAAAAACCTTCAAATGACTTACTGATGGTTGTTTGCCACTCCACACTTCTTCAGGGATCTTGTTCTTCAATATCTTAGTAGGACACATATTCAAAATATAAACCGCAATCGAAACAACTTCTCCCCATAAAGACTTCGGAAAATTATTTTGCTTCAACATGCATCTCACCATATATATAATATAGTTTTATTTCTTCTTTCAGCAATTCCATTATGTTGAGGTGTATAAGGAGAAGTTACCTCATGATCAACACCATGTTCTGCATAAAAATCTTCAAACATCTTGGATGTGTATTCGCAACCTCCATCTGTTTGCAGAACTTTGATCTTTTTCTCACTCTGGTTTTCAACAAGTATCTTGAATCTCTTAAAGATTTCGAATACTTTGTCCTTTCGTTTGATCACATATATCCATATCTTTCGACTAAACTCATCGACAAACGAAACAAAATATCGCTTTCAACCAATTGTATGTTCTTCGAATAGACCACATACATCTGAATGTACCACTTCGAGTATGTAAGATGATCTCATTGGCATAGTCGAAACGAAAGAATTTCTGGATTGCTTTCCTACTAAACAACATTCACAAAGTTTTTCAGGAATCTCAAGACTTGGAATTCCAGTAAACATATCTTGAGTAATCAGTTGATTGAGTGATTGAAAATTCAAATGTCTAAACCTCAAATGCCACAACCAACTATCCTTGGGGTCAACAATAGTTTTCAAACATTGAACTTCAGTCAAACTGGTCATAGTCTTAAATGTCCTGTTCTTCGACAACTGAGATTTTAAGACCAAATTGTTCTTGGTATCGAACAATTTCAAAACTCCATCTTTCATGACAACTGAGAAACCTTTTTCGACTAGTTGTCCAACACTTAGCAAGTTGTACTTTATTCCAGGTACATAAAGTACATCTTTGATCATAGCTTTCCCTCCATTACTCATTTGAAAGACTATATTTCTAGTACCTTATGCTTGCAACGAACTATTATCAGCAAGTTTTACCTTTCTCTTCTTCGACTCGTCAAAATCCTCCAACCACTCCTTTCAACCAGTCATATGGTTCGAGCAGCCTGAGTCAAGAAACCAGATTTTGGATTCGACATGATTATCTGCAATTGCATCCATAACCACCATACTACCTTCAAAATCATTTGAATCTTGAAGTGAAAGGTTCACTCCTTCGTCCTTTCTTATCGATCCCTTGTCTTTTCTGTACCAACAATTCTTGGCTACATGATCCCATTTTTCACAATTATAACACTACACACCTTTTTTATCTTCTTTGCTCTTTCGATAGTTTCCTCCTCCTCCATTCGAGGATTCAGAAGCTCCATCTTCGACCTGATGTTTGTGAGGTTTCGATTAAGACTTATTACCCTAAGTTTTGTCGAACTTGCCTTTGAATTTGTTGGAACCACTATCCTTTTTCTATGACTGAGCTTGTAGAGCCTGTATCGAGTCTTGCACTTCTTTCCTTTCGATAATCCTCATCTCATGCGCCTCCAACAAACCAACCAAATCTTCCACTTTAGTGGTTTCAAAATTTTTGAATTCTTGAATAGCTACGATAATGTGATCAAAGTGAGAGGTCAACATTCTCATTACCTTCTCAACTATCATCTTATCAGTTATGGTTTCACCATAATCCTTCATGAGATGGACGAGTTTTTGAACCTTTGACACATATTCTGTAACTTTTTAATCTTCTCCCATCGACAACAACTCGTATTGTTGATGCAAGGTTTGTAACTTGACAACCTTGACTTTCTCACCTCCTTTGTAAAACTTCACCAGAATATCCCATGCCTGCTTCTCCGTTTCAGCATGAGAGATTCTGTCGAAATTAGCAGCATCGATTGCCGTCTGAATGCAATAAGCAGCCTTGTAATCTTTCTTCTTGACTTCGTTATGGCTTTTTTCAGTTCTTCGGTTGCATTTGCAGCCAACGCAGGAACGCTGTCGGTTACCACTTCTAGGGTTTTATGGAAGCCAAACAAGGATTGCATCGATTTTTTCTATCGGATCTAATTCTTGTCGTCAAGTATTGGAAGAGAATTCATAATGTCCTTATCACTAGCAATCTTCGCAACAGTTGATTCACTTGTCCTATAAATACGATCTCTAACGTGAAATTCTTGAAAACTCGATCAAGAACAATAACCGTAATCTTTGGTACCAATTTGTAGGGGTGTTCAAATCCAAATCAATCCAAATAAAAAACCGAAAACCGATCCAAAAAACCGAAAACCGCAAAAAACCAAAATTTATTGGATGTGTTTGGATGTTATTTTGTAAAAACCGATCAGTTCGGATCGAATTTCGGATTAATTTTTCAAAATCGATCCAAACCAAACCAAAACAAACCAAACCGCGTACATATATTTTTATACTTATTTACTTTTTATTAGTATGATATGCTATGTGAAATTATTATTAGATGATAATAATTTTTTTAATAATAGTTATTAGCTTGGTATAATTTATTTATTTTTATTATTTCAATCATAATCAACCACTCTCATTTTGTAATATTAACTTTTAATATACTATATGTTATATATTATATCAAATCTATGATTTATTAGTAGTTTTATAATATTAATAAAAATATAATGTGTAATTTGGATATCCAAAAACCGATCCAAATTAAATCGCATAAAATTGGATTGGATCGGATCGGATTGGATTTTTTTAATATATCATCCAAAACCGAACCGAACCGCAAGTAAATTTATCTTTGAATCAGATGATTTTTTATCTTAAAACCGATCCAAACCGAACCGCGAACAACCCTACCAATTTGTTAGTGCGTGAGGCACTTTAGTGAGGAGAGAAAGAGGAAATGATAAAAGAAATAAAGATTTATATTATTGAATTGTACAAATAATGATACATACTAGGACTATTTATAGAAATAAAAACTTATAAGTTTGGAACATAGAAGCATATCATAATTTCACCATTTAACAATGCTCAATCATTAACCTTCCTAAAGTTGTTTAGAAGTTGATAAATGTGCCTTTGAAGCCTATACTGTAAGTGAGTAATTTGTTCAGGAAACCCTGAACAAAAGAATGAGTAAATTCCTAGGACTAACGAAATTGATTTGAATAAAGGATTTTCAACTTGCGGGAACAAAAGACAAACAAAATATATACAAACTCTTGTATCATATAATAACTGTTATACAAAAAAATACACAAACAAAATGAGATGAACTCAAAGTGCATGAGAAGCTTTACATTGTTGTATTTCTCTCCTTTACGAGAATGTAATGGAACTGCTCGAATTCCACTTCTTAGTTCCCACACAGGTAAACATGTTTGCCCACCAAAGTCATCCTTCTCAGGAAATATCAAATGGAATTAAAAGAATCATTGAAAAAACATAAAAATCATTATTTTGAGACTACTGATTCTTGTAATTTGTTTTTTTAAGACTTTTAAACTATTTATTAAAAGGCATAAGGTGAGATATCAGTATTATTTCATATTATAATACACATATTAATTAGTTCTTTTGAGGTTCCTTCCTGCTAAATAACATGAATAAATAAATCCAGACAAAATGTATAGAAGTGAAATTCCAATGCCAAATTCAATTTTAAACAATATTTATTTTGAACACTAATTTAATATGTATTAAAAGATAAGCATCTAATCAATTACAGGGGTATTTAGTTGAATGATGTTTTGTAGGTTTCTCTTCTACTACTATATTTTACTAGTTATTTTGTCTCTGTTATGTTCAAGTTTTCATAAACTTAGTAGACAATTAAATATAGCCGTAAGTAATAAGAATTGCATCTCAAAATATTGTTAATTATTGTAATAACAATTATGTCATAAAAAAAACTTGTATATGAAATTGAATCTCATGTATGGTATGCGTACTTAGTATTTTCATCGGATACGTTTACCATATTTATGGTGTGTTTCATTTGTGATAATCGCTCATTTACCTATTTTTTCGCAATTCTAATATTGGGATTAGACCATGCTCTGCTTCCTTATATGATTATCCTACCGTGGTTTCAGATGTCACATACTGATTAAAATACTCGGAGATTATTACAAATTATGCGTAAACAAATTAACATTAGCATGGGATAGATGTTGCACATGAATACTGAATTAGTCAAATATAAAGAGCATGTTACTTATCTTCGAGGTTCATGCGATTTTAATTTGATAACATCGGATAATTGCTTCATCTTGATACTGTATTCGATAATAGCTTTATATTGTTCTCCTTTTCATAACCTGCTTGAGACTGGAAGTTGCACCGACGATCATCTTATATTGTTTTCGGGTAGAATTTCGAGCGACAAAATATTGCTGAAAACGCCGGTAATGCAGAAAATTCAAACATTAAGACCAAGAATTGCTAATTTTGAATAACAATATCAGAGATCAAATTGCTTCCGATATGCGATGCGCTTCAAACACTCCAACAGCAGTCGTAAGCGACAATTGAGCAATAGTGCCATCTCCTGTTTTTTCAAATCAAACTACTAAACCCATAAGCCATAACATGAAAAACCTTGCATCTCAATTGGAATTAAAAGAATCATTGAAAAAACATAAAAATCATTAATTATTTCCAATATCAACACAAACACATATAACACTAAGGACCCATTGAAAGATCATTGAACACCTTCAACGATTCTTCATGGAAACCCATGAAATCTTAAACACCTTCTCCTGCAGAATATACAATGCATCACACAATCTTTTGAGCTCATATTATAAGAACGTTCACCTCCAATATATGTATAAGAAGCAAGAAAATTAAACCAAATAAATCAATATACTTACATTCCTTCATTCTAACAGAAAATTGGGTTTTAGGGTTTGCTTGAGAAAATTGGGTTTCAACACCAACATAGATTGAAGTAACCAATCATTGACTTACCCGCTCGAATCTCGGTTCCATACTTCCTGAAAGAACAACATCAAAAAAGTCAGATACGAAGGTTGTAGAGTAGTGGTTCCTGGAACCATTTTTGGAATTTGAATAGAAATCACTCGGTGAAACAATGAATGAATTTTGAAACCATTTTTGGAATTGGAATATGCAGATGGAAACAATGAGTAAATTTTGAAACTGTCATAGTAGAGGGAGAAGGTTCAGTGGAAAATTTCGTAACCGCCATTGGAAATGGAGAAATAATTTGGGAAAACAAATATGTAGGATTTGGCAAAACAAATCAACTGAGATGTGAGGCAGCCACGTGGCGAATTGTGGGAATAAAATGAGTGAGTTTTCTTATAGGATAGATATATAGAAATGTGCTTGAATAACTACATCCCGAGCCATTGAATTAACATTTAGACCTTGAATACCTCTTCTATTTGTATCAACATGACGAGACTTTGGAATTCCTATAGAATATGCTTCCAACAAATAGTTTGTACAAAATTCAACAGTTTCTTTTGTGATGTATCTTTCAACAATCGAAGCTTCCGGTCGGTGATGATTCTTCGTATATCCTTTAAAGATCTTCATATTTGCTCTATTGGATACATCCATCTTAAATAAACTGGACCACAAAATCTAATTTCTCTGACTAGTTTAACAAGTAAGTGAACCATAATATCAAAAAATGATAGAGGAAAATACATCTCGAATAGAAACAAGATTATGGCATCATCATCTTCTAATTCATCTAATTTTTTAAAATCAAGAACTTTATTATATATGGCATTAAAGAATAAGTGAAATCTGGTTATAGTTACTCTCACATTTTTTGGTAGGATCCCAGATAACCACTGGTAGAAGTTATTGCATAAATACATGACAATCATGAGATTTTGAACCAATTAACTTGAGATCTTTCATTGATACAAGTTTCTTGATATTTGATTACCATGCAAACACTCGCAGAGAATTTTCTTTTCCTTTTTAGATAGAGTGTGACATGCTAGAGGCAGATAAGTTCGTTTTCCTCTCTCTATTGGATCCAATTGTTTTTGTATACTCATCGCCTCCATATCGAGACGGAAAGTCTTACTATCTTTAGTCTTACCTGGAATGTTTAGAAGTCTTCCAATCAAACAATGTCTAACATCAAGACTTGACTAATATGGAAGATCAAAGAACACAAACCTTTGTTTCTATATATGTTTCTCAACTGACCCTTTTTCTTTTTCTCCCTTTCCTAAGATAATATTAATGTGTTCCTGCCGTTGATAAAATTCATCCCCAATTAAAGGTTTAGGAGCCATATCAAACTCTTGCTCTCTATTAAAAGCCTTCCACAATCTATGATAAGGATGATCGGGTTTTAGAAATTTTTGATGCCCAAGATAAACGGTTTTTATTCCAAACTTAAGTTGGTGATAGCAAGTACTATATTCACATATAGGACACACTTTATGTCCTTTGACACTACATTCATCCAAGTTACCATAAGCAGGAAAGTCGTGGATTGTGCAAAATAACATTGCACATATCTTAAACTTTTTCCCAGAATATGCATCATCAACTTCAACACCTTCATCCCATAAAATTCATAAATATTTAATTAATGAAATTAGATAAACATCTATGTTGTTACTAGGTTGTCGTGGTCCAGAAACTATCATACTTAATAACATATACTTATACTTCATGCACAACCAAGGAAATAGATTGCAAGTAATGAGAAGAACAGGCTACGAAGAATGATTAGTGCTCAGATTATCAAAGGGGTTCATTCCATAAGAGGCAGGCCTAAGGTTTCTTGTCTCAATTCCAAAATCCGGAAACAACAAATCAATTTTTTTCCATTGCAACGAATTAGCTACACAGAGAATGTTTCCATCACGTTTTCTTTCATCTGCATGCCATCTAATATTCATTGTGTTATTAGAATTAGCAAAAAAGTCTCTTAAATCGTGAAACTATTGACAAGTACCATAATAATTTACAAGGAGGATGCTTTCTACTAACATTATCATAGTCATTATCATCATCATTGTTGGCCTTCATCTTGTAACGCGACACACCATATTTCAGACATTGATATAAGTCTTTATACTCTTTCCTGTATAATATACAATCATTAGGACATGCATGTATTTTGATATACTCCAAATCCATTGGACACAATATCTTCTTAGCCTCATAACAACGATACGAAAAATTGTTATCTTCTGGTAACATTTGCTTCAGCAAATCAAGTAATTCCGTGAAACTTTTATCCATCCATCCATTTTTTGCCTTCAGATTAAACAACTTTAACACCACAGACAATCATGTAAAACTTGTGTGTCCCTTATATAAAGTGGTTTCTTTATCACTACACAAAGTATCATAAATTGAGCATTATTAAAAGAAGATTCTCCAATATAACATAACATATCCTCTAGTCGATCATCCATATATTCATCTTCATCCACTATTTGACTTTGTGACGTCCGACTTCCCTCTTTATCCACCTCACCATGCCACGTCCATATTATATAATTTTGACATATACCATCACAATATAGGTGATGGAATATTTCATACTTTATACCTTTAAGGATATTCACACAATTAACACAAGGACAATAAAAGATATCATTATTGTCGGGAAGATTTTGATCAGCGTATTCAAAGAATTCAAGATTTCCTTTCTCATAAACCGAACATAATCTATCATCTTTCACTCAACTACGATCTATACCAACTTATAACATTTATACACGAATAATAATGTGAATGACACACCAAAATCTAAATTAAAACCATATCCAAAAACTAAAGCATACTCATAACAAAAATATAACTATAAACCTTAAGCATATGCATATCCATCACAATAATATAATATTTTTGTTCACTTTTATATCAAACAGAAAAATCTTAAGCATATTAAACATGTATGATATACAACATAAACACAAGAAAGGAACATGTTTCATCCGGGAGAACAAACAGAACAACAAACAAACGGTAAATATGAACCAAGAACAATATACAACATTGAACGAAATATAAAGCAAGCAACATGTATCCAAAAATAAGGAATGAAAACCGAAGATGAAGAATATTGTACTTCGAAGATGAGGACAAGAACAAGAATGAAGATGTTGAATATTTACAATTCAAATGAACGAAGATGGTGAAGATTTGATTCCAAACGAATGGATATAGACTACGCTATTGTTGTCGTTTTTGGCTCGCTTGTTTGGCTAGAGCATCTTATAAAAGAAATTCAGAATAAATTTTGTTTTAATTTACCAGTAAAATGTTTAACCACGATTGAACAATTCAACCGTAGTGGAAATTTAAATCATCTAACAACGGTTGAGTCAATCCATCGTTCTTAAATTATTTTCAATTTATGTTTTCAATAATGGACTTAAGTGACACATGCTTAATGTACTTGAAAAAATGTAGTTGTTGGGAATCAAAGCATGTTACACATAATTTATCACCACGGTTTTTAAGAACAACCGTCATTAAATTACTTTTTTTAAAACAAGACACTCACCGAAGATCTTCAAAATTCTTACTATTCAGATAAACACTAATTCAATTTCTACCGAATTTGATTCATGTGAATAGGTCAAAGATTCAACTCATGTAAACAAAATGTGTTACGAATTAAAAAAACTTGGTTCATTTGAATCAAATAGAATCATGATTTGGTTCATATGAATCCGTTCAAGATTTTATTCATGTAAATGGGAATGATTGAACTAGTTTTTAAAACAACATGATTTAATTCATGCAAACTATATAATTGAATATCAAACTCTCAAAAACTCTGTGGTTTGATTCTCACAAATGTGGAGATAGATTCAATGAACTAAAATGATTGAAAATAATAGTTTGCATGAAATCATTTTCAAAAACTTATGCAATGAGTTGATACTTAACTAGACGAATACAAACACAAAAACTAACTATTAACCTATAAACATCACTAAAAACAAATCCTAAGTCCTAGACCTAGATATGAGAGTCCACATTCACACACTCTCTCTTTTTGATGATGTCAACCAGGAATTTTGTGAGTCGTGCATAACATGTTCTCCCCTAAAACTGTGTTGTTGTTGTTTATATTTTTTACTAAAACTTGCAGAAATTCTTCCCTCTCTAACAACATAAAAAAGTAAGAAAATAAGCAATATTGAAAGAATTAATTGTCAAATATAATAGTTCAAAAACACATCAACTGAAAATTAGATTACAACAAATCAAATAACCTCTAGAAATCATACAATCTCAAGATGCAAAGAATAAGTAAATTTAATCAGATTAACAATAAATATGGATAACTAAATTTTACATAACTAACAATATTATAGCATAAATGTAGCATCACCAGAAACAAACATGGAAACAACATAAACACGAGTCCAAACACTTTAAAGTTGTTGTGTTAAAGTGAGTACCCATTCAAGTCTCACATCGAGTAATGTAA